AGATGCCATGAAGCACGCTGGCTAATACGTTACAATATCAATACTTACAATCAATTGCCACATTATAAAACTTACTGTTTTTCACATATTTTCTTCTCACAGATTTATAAGAAAGGTTTGAAATTCATTTGCTGCATCAATCGACATTTAAAAACAAAAGAAAGTAATTTTAATTAAACTGGAGTACGTATTTTAGTATCCTTGATAAATAGTCGCTGGTGGAAAAGTCATTAACCACTTAGACAGTTATATCTCAAAAAGTCTCGATCATAGATCTCGGCTTGATAAAATTGTTTCTATTATCTAAATTAACAACCTTGAAAAGCACATTCAATTCCTCCAAACACCCATTTACTAATACTGTTTTACTTTACACTGCCGTTTTACTATAAATTGTATTCTTGCCGAACTTTCATCAATTTAATAATTTCTTCAACACCCAGTGGTACGCTATCACTCTCCAATATATTAAAATATTTCTCTACAAAAAAGCGTTCATCCGTCAGTTTCTGCATAACACATAAATCAACTTGAGAATACATAAAAGAGAGATTTTGCAAGTCGTGGATTTGAAAGACGTAACACAATTCTGGGGAGAATTTGTACTGTGCATGCGTCGGCATCAAACGACGGGATTTCGATTCACGGGTCCCCTGCATTCTCCCTGTTTTGTTGTCTACGACAAACGTGCACTTCACGTAGTTTTCGTCGCCATCACTAAACACGATACGACACGCGGCCTTCGGCCGTCTTACCTTACCTACCGGCTGTCTCAGATGGCAGTGGGTCACCTGCAATTGAGTGAAATGGATAGACGTTGTTGTTTAAGAATGAAAGTTATTGAATGAGGTAAAATTTTAATTTTAATGACTCAAAATAAACAGGCATAGCAAGAAGGGAGTTACTACCTGAGCTCAGTTTCTCCCAAAACAAAACTTATTCTAGTTAAAATCTACTCAAGAAAATCATAAGGCTACGCTTACTGAAAACTGGTCTGCCATTTAAACTTTATTCTAGTCAATGCGTGGCTGAGAATCGTTGCCTGAATTGCACAAAAAAAGTTTTAGCAAGAGTCCGTTATTTTTAAATATTGCCTAAAGGGCTTAACTGGACCCATTTGCAGGCTCTGCGATGACATCACTCGTGTTTGTTGTTGTTGAGGTCACTCGCACCAGCTGTTGTGTCCACATCACTGTGCGGCCCGATCGACTGAAAGGACGGGCGGCGATCACGGCGACTCTGGGGCTCGACCGAAGGCTCTGCGGCAGGTACCGGGAGTTTACCGCAATTTACCACAGTTTATCGCTGCCGCGTCCACAAGTATCTTCCTCGGCTCTCACTTTCAGATGCAATGCAGCAGGCGCTCATAATTCAGTCCATTTTGGTAACGGTGGCAAATTTTTTGTAATACTTGTCTAAACTTTTCGGAATTGTGAAGTTCCGGAAACCGCATAGCGTAATTTCAAAAATGCAATAAGTGTCCTTCAAATTTTCAAATTACGTGAGCAAATGTGGGTGAATGTTTGCCACACATTACTTCTAAAGGGCGATTAGAAAAAAGTGAAGTTCAAAACGCTCAGCACAGGGTTCTGAAATTATGTCAACTGCCCGGCGGTTTAACAAGAAATTAAGAAGTGCAAGTGGTGGTCTGACAAGAAATGTCTGGTGATTGTCGGAAAACAAGTGTCCGCCGTCTTGGTTATCCCCTCCTTTCACTCCCAAAAGTTCTAGAAGGTTCCAAGATTTTGATAAAACGGATGCCCGTTGGTTTTAATGCTATTGCGTTGCAGAGGGATTTCGGCCAATCGCCGGACTCATGTTAAGCGACCCGAATGGAAAGTTACAGTATCTCCTCCTTTGTGATTCTTTTTGTTTATGAAATGCACTTGCAGTGTAGTGCGTCGCTTCGTCGGTGGCCGGGGTTTCCCATAACTTAAAGTTTATATATATATATATATATATATATATATATATATATATATATAGAGAGAGAGAGAGAGAGAGAGAGAGAGAGAGAGAGAGAGAGAGAGAGATCTTGGATGTTAAGATAAGAAATTTTGAAGGCTTAAAAATCTTTCAATGACACATTCTTTGGTAAAATTTTAAGTATTTTCAGACATTTTTACATTTCGTAGTGGCATGTCTTATAAGCAAAAACTATAATTAACTATTTAAAGTAAACATATTAATTTAAATTTGCATGAAACATCAGACCGAGACTTGTAAAATTACGGAAACAATTATTCTCGAGTTCAAATTTCTTTTTCATTTTTTTACTAATTTTTTCCATCAGTCACATCATCGGCCACTTTTTCTTGCGAAGCACTGGGTCTGTCTCGGTCTGTCCATGCCTAGCGCCGGCACCGAAGATAGGTACGAGAAAGTCTGCCATTTTGTAGCACCACCATTTTATAATTTCGTGAGTGGTCATGATTTCAATATTTTTATGGTCAATAGAATGTGAACTTGTAATTTTGTGAATGGTGAGAGAGGTATGCTTAGAGAGGAAATGAAACTAAGGAACAAGGGAGTAAACGGAACTCAGGCAAAAAATAGTATAAAGAAAAGGGAACTGACTAGTGCGAATAATACCATTTTGTAACATCTCTAGTTGTATACTATTAAAGTTTAAGGCGGGGAAATATGTGTTATGCTTACAGTTTAATTAACATTTGTATTTCGACAGAACTGTTTGACGTGGGACTACGATTGCAGGATCAATTTGGAAATACAATTCGTTTGTGGGCCGGATCTTTCGAGTTGATAGTGAACTTAATGGATCCACGCGACATAGAGGTAATCCAAATTAAAACACTAATTTTTTTAATTTTATGATTCCACGGCTGTGGTTTTGAATGAAAATTATTTGCAGTGCGTTTTATATTGTGAAGTTCTTTCTTTTCAGGTACTGCTAGCTAAAAATAATAATTTAAAGAAGTCCTTTCAATACGACTTCTTGCATTCTTGGTTGGGACTAGGCCTACTTACCTCTACAGGTACTCATTATTTTTTTCTAAAGGCAACTGGTTCAAATAAAATAAAAATTAACTCATCTAATCAGATAATTCACTTTTTAATTGTCAACATTTTGAATTAATTAAATTACAAACACATTGAATTCCATGTTTTTTAAAACATGCATAGGTCCTGGGTCATTAACTATGCATAGGGAAAGGTGGTGTACTTTTGACCTATTGTACCTTTAACCAGACATTGCCAGAGTGCATAATAATCATAAATATCAGAAGTTGGATTTCCTAGTTTATACTCCTGCCGCCAAAGGTACTGTAAGCCCTCTTTTTATTTTTAAAGTTTCACTAGTGTTGTGTTTAAAAAAAGAAAATTGTTTCCAACCGTCAAAAGTAAGTATTTTGTTCGGATTATTTTATGTCATAACTTGAATTATATTTAATATATTTCATAGTAAAAAGTTCAAAATATGTAAAACCATCATTGTAGATGAAATATTCAGTTTACTGTTTGAAACAAATTAACCTCATATTTAACATGACAAGGCAAAAGTACAATTTATCCTGTGGTTACTTTCCTTCAGATTGTTTATATTTTTTATTATTTTGGAGAATTAGAGCAGCAAAGATGATATTGTGTTAAAGCTTCCAAATCTACCTCAGGCAGGTGAATCAATTCGTCTCCAACAGCATTTGTTATTTAGTGTCGATATATCTCACTAGTTTTGAACAGCTGCATTTTTATTCTATATTAGTCAAAATACTTTTGTTTTTTATATGTAATGGCATTATAAATGGTTTAAACTGTAATTTAGAAACTTTAATTATTTTAAAATTAGCCTACATGTATTAAGATTAACTCAGCATTTTGCATTTTCATTTCCTTCGTTGTATGTAGTGCTTTTTCACAGTTTCTGTAACCCTTATTGCTGATGTGCATCAGACATTCATATTTCAGTGTTAAAAATTCGTTTAAATAATAAAATAGCTTCAAATTAACTGATTGCTATAATGTGTCGGTAGTAGTCAAAGGTACAAGTACTCCTGGTCAGAGGTACAACTTACTGTTGTTCCATTGACCAATACTTTTTTTCTAAAAATTAATTTCATCCATGTTTAAAATTAATTTTAGATCACAAGAAAACAATTTTTTATAGACAACATTTAGGTGCTTATTTTAAAACCTTAAACAAGAACAAAACTGAAAGAGGAAACCATTAAAGTAAGAAAAGTAGTCAAAGGTAGAACATCTTCCCTTCTTATTTTTCAATGCATTACGTACATGCAGGCAGTCCATTAGGGTGATTTAAAAATCTGATATCCGAATTTTCAGAGGTGTGCCCTTTCGTGGAACTCTCAAGATATACTTATGACTCGAAAAAAAGAAAGAAATTAAAAAAAGAAAAGAAACGTACACGTAGGCTTCCGCGGCTCGAATTCATGGCTTCTTGGCTGTCCGGGTGACGCCGCGTCGATGGCTAAGAGGCCATGAGGCTAAGAGGCCTCTCGGCCAACGACGCGGCGTCACCCGGACAGCCAAGAAATCAAAGAAAAGAAACGAAATTCATAGATAGTTCGAACATCTGAGAATCAAAATTCGTTAAACGTGGGTATTCTAAAATCAATAATAAAAGGGCATATAAACTTTCTAAACACTATAAATAATAAGTTTAAATTAAATATGATATGAAATTATTTATCATATGTGTTATCTTGATTATTTAATGGTAATTGTTTCCTGGCCTTAATAAAAACAGACTAACATTTTTTAAACAAATTTTAACTGGTTGATGCCTTTTAAAAAATAGAAAAAATAATAAAAGTATATTACATTCAAGAAATGGAGATTAAATCAATAAAATTGTAAAACATCGTAAATAATAAAGTAATGCATTAGGAGATATTGAACCATAATAATAATAAAACAAACTTTGACATACTTAGTCATATCCAGATTTTTTAAACCAATAGCATTTTAATAAAAAAGTCGTCAATGTTTTAAAAATGTCATCTGGCCAACTAGTATGACACAAATCGTTTTTTAATTGGTTACAGATTCATCAAGTTTCATATATAAGCCATATATAAATTATATATATAATTATAATGTATGTGTGTCTGTGTGTATACAAATGTGATTTCATTTGCAGGAGAACGATGGAAAAAGCATCGCAAAATTATCACCCCTACATTCCACTTCACAATATTGGAGCAATTTGTGAAAGTGTTTAACAAACAAGGAGATGTGTTTATATCAGTATTGCAGAAGATGGAGGGAGGACCACCGTTTGATATCACTCCTCTTGTTGACCTATATACCCAGGACGTGATTTGTGGTATGATTTTAATGTCTTAAAATGTGATGTTTTAGTTGTCGTAATTACAATAGTAATTAGGATAATTATATATTAAAGATTATATTGATATAATTAGCACTTAGGATAAAAAATTCCCAAAATCTCAGTGGCAGCTCGTGCCCTCAAAGAACGGTGGTTCATCAAATAATGACAATGTGCGAGGATTCACAGAATTCCGAGATTAGCATAATAGTAATTTACATTAACAGGCAAGAATGTGGATGTTTCCATGGCTAGACACGAGAGTTCCTGAACTATACCGATAGTCCGACTCTTGGAATCCTGATGGAAAATACTTTTTGCCGCTTGATGTACTACAATAGTTTGTACGAGGTCACAATTTTATAACAGTTGGTTCATGTGGTACACAAATTGATTGACGATCACGAGAACATAGTAATTTACGTCATAAGGACGGAATATATTACCGAGTGAGTAATGTAACATTTCCGCCCGTCTGTCGTAACACGTTTTATTCCATACCATGCCGCATTTCCTTACTTTTGTTTTAATTCCATATTGCAATATTTCACGATGTACGAGTGCCACTAAAGAATTGACCACGGCGCCAGAGCCCCCTGAAATCTTGATGTCTATGAAACAATTTCAGAGCTTTGAATATTTTAAAATGGATTTGAAAGATCAAGGGATGCTTCGGGAATCGATAATAAATTAATACAAGGAAACAATTGAACATCACATATCGGAAGAAAGATAAAAATAAAGAATATGAAAAATTTTGTTGCTGAAAAAGTACAAATAATATTAACATGGTTAATGAGGATGTAATGTTGGCTACTGTTGGCACATTGACCGCCAAATGGCTTCAAATTTGGCGCCTTGTTTTTTAATAGAGCATTTTTGATGTTTTTGAAGGCGTTTCAGAGGGAGGGATTATGCATTTCGAACATGGCGCTTCGGAGAGTCTTATTTTTTCTCAAAAAGACGCGCGAATTTCTTCTCTGTTGACCAAATAATTTCTTTCGTACAAAGTTCCTTGACGTAGGTTGTCAGCTGCTTCCCATTAGGTCGGAGTGTCACCGAAAGTTCTCATCAGCTCCTGGGCAGCTCCTCGTTCGCACCTTGTAGAGCAAGTCAAAATTTTAAGAATCCAGCTTTTTCCATGTTAGACCCGACGAGCTAGCATTGTCATAAGATGCGAAGTGCAGAAAGCTTAGTAAAAACGTTTTGAATGCCTTCAAGGTTCGATTAAGGGTGTGCCAGACACTGGATGCAGTTGTAACATAAACTAAAAACGTAAAGAATGGTTTAATTTCGTTTGGACAGAGGTAACTGTGACAACTTCTTCAATACTCTTTAATTCTTTCTCCAAGTAACAATCTTTGTCAATTGTGTGTCATCTCTTTTCCAAAACACTCTGGCCTGACAAAAAATTACTTATAGAAGAGGCGATTTATCTTTGCAGCTTCTACTAATTGCTCTCCCAATTTTTTCTTCGAGTATTTCGCCGCCTCAACAGCTTCCTTACTTAACAGAAGTTGTTTTCTTACCATCATATGGTTCTGTTATCATGTTTCAAGTTTCCTTCTCATAATTGTAATAATCTATATCGTTGGTGCTAGAGAGGTATTTATAAAAGTAATCAGACACGTTAGTACGAAATTTCCAAGTTCATAAGTTATGAGATTTCATTACAGTACACTGTATCGTAATATCCCTCTTTGCAGCCTGCTTTGAGACACGGAAACAACCGAAATGCGACATAATATGAAATAAAGTATTTTTCCGTTAGGAAGTTGGTACTTGTTTTGTTTTCTAATTGTTTTACTAGTGGGTACAGTACGTTTCCAGACTGTGTTGAAAGAAAGTAGAGCTTTCGAAAGTCGAACTGTGAAAATAGGCGTCATTTTTGTTGGAATCGAATAAAAGGGGAGGGACGACCCGCTTTGGTGAACAGACCGCTCACTTTCCACTTCTGGAAACCGAAGTTCGGGTCCCGGTCAAGCCGGATGCAATTGGTGGTGGACGGTTTGTCACAAGTTTCCTCAGGATTCTCCCGTTTCTTCTGCCTTTCATCCATCTTTGCTTCATCAATATTCATATTACAAAATCATAATCACCAATCCTTCAAATTCAATCGTCTACTCCAGTTATGATTATAAAGCCAGGATATGTTATCGTTAGAAAATTAACCAAACGTTTCAGGAATACTTTTAGCGTACATTGGTTTTCTCCGCAAAAATCTCCAAAATTTACTACACAATCTTTTTAAAAACGTTTGTATTCGCCTATTTTTAAATGACTTTCATCAATCATTCTTGCACGTACGACGAAATTAAGCAATAATTCATTTATTTTTTAAATTTTTATTGACTTGAACACTACAAGTTTTCAGCCACTCATTCGTATTAATGCGTACAACTTCACTATATTTAGTGAGTGAGTAGGCAATATATTAAAAACTTTCTTTTAAGAAAAACCCACAAAAAATCAAAATTACGAAAAAACTTCTTATCAAACTTTTAATCATATATATTGCATTGGATTTGTCTTTATACGCCTATCATAATAGACACAAAATACGTATAGTTCGTTAAGAAAAAAATGAACACATGTACTGACACATGTACATGAAATGTACAGGTACATGTACAAGAAATGAACACATGTACAGATAATCTTTCCCCCCTACGTTACATACAGTTTTTACTGGTTTTTTACTGAATAAATATGAATCTGAATCCATTGGCTTTATTCCCTCGAGTACATCCGTGAAAACTACATTGCAATATCTTTAATCATTCAAAAATGTCGAGGTGCTTGTACACTGTACAAACTGTCTGTACACCTATCTAAAATTACATAAATAGGATCTTATAAACTTAGCGCAAGAAGTCAGCTGTTGTTCAAACACGCTAAAACGGGCACAAACCGCCGCTGCTAAATCTTCACCCGATCACAGATGTTTATCACTAGATTTTTATCGAATGTTATCTAATTGCAATCATGACGGCATGCATTTTTTTCACCTTTCCACACTCATATAAGCCTTCCTCGAGACATCTTTACCTAATCGGACTTCAATATCTGGTACCGCTAAAATGCTTGAACCGCTGCAACTTAAAGCTTAGTCTACATCTTGTTCAATTACAATTTACTAAAAAATAGTTTTGCGCACTCTCTTTCAGAAACAGCCATGGGTGTTGAACTTCATGCTCAAACTGAGAACTATGCGTCCTCGTACCTAAAAAGTGTGAGAGGGTGAGTTTTTTGTTTTGTTTTGTTAAAATACATTCATTTAATTCAGTTCAATGTCAAATAATAATGAGACGTTTGCAATTTGCATTTCTTTACAGTATGTGTGAAATATATGTCAAAAGAAGCACTTCACCATGGCTATATCCACAACATGTATATAATCTATCATCTTACTATAGACGGGAGAGAAAAAATTTGAAAATCCTTCATGGTATGACTAATGAGGTAGGCATGCCTAGGTACATGGAAAGAGACCTCAAAAAGTAGGAAGTGGCAGATCCATTCTTTAGCAAATTGTCTATTAGAAAAAAATACCTTGTTATGATTGTATAACTCACCCTAAAAGCGAATAACACCAGACAGCAAATTTTAACTTTTTCTTTGTTCATCGGGTCTCCGTACCTGTGTATGGATCATTTTGCCCTAAAATGAAGGAAATTTAATGCATAATGATCCTGATTTGTGTTTACAGTCAGCATTGTTTTTACTTCCTCGCGTACATTCTACATAATACTATTAGTTTACATAATACTACAAATTCACCGATATTCATAAAGCCACATTTGAATCATGTATTAGGGGAACCAAAATATTGAGAGGAAGAAGAAGACAATTTCATCAACACAAATATTATCTGAAACTAAGCTAAACCATTGTTTTAAATGATACGTAGATTCAATGCTGCAAAGCACATTGAATGATTCATAAAAATGTCTGTTTATCATTAGTTTTATCAAATTATTATGATACATAACCATAATATGATTTCAAATAATAGGATCGAGTGAATCGGTCTTGGGAGATGGGCAATGGAGAAGGTGAGCACAAGTACTTTCTCTGGAGAAGAATTCTAGCGGTAGGTTGTTCTGATCGGTAGTTTTCCGTGTTTTTTTCGATCAATACCAGACGAATTCCGGAGCTGTACCCCAACAAACGAGCCACGGACTGCGCACCATCTCACCTTCGTCTAGCTTGTCCTACTTTCACCCTTACACAGACTTACACCAACGTGCAGTACACTACCACACATGCTTGGAGACCGTTCGGGAGCTTAGAATTTGTCGCAGCTGGGACGATGCCTCGCTGGTGGGAGATACCTGTTTGGGGAAACACCGCTAACTGGCAGTAGGTCGGCGCCGGATCTCGCCGTCCAGCGGGAGAAGATCACAGCCATCTCCCGGAGCGGGGAAACGTGCACTACACGTACGGGACTAATGACCTTATCCACTGACGGTCCTGGAATCACTAACAGCCAACAAACCCAAAAATTTGGACACTAAAGTTGTGGGTACGAAACCAGCCTAAGGGATGCATGTTTCAAGCTGTGGCCGAGGCGTGAGGGGCATTCTAAATCCCTCCGATATTACATTTAATCCCTAAGGCTTCCAATTCTTTCGGCCTGACAGGCTACTGTGTGTGTAATTTAGGAAGTGGATCCCCACATCCAGAACAATTGTAGGGGTGCCCGTAATAATGTTTAGTGCGGTTTTATAAATGTTCCTCAAGGCTCTACTTCACGGAGGCATAATGTTATCGTATTTAAAGGTCGTGCCGCTAGACGTGACATGATAGCGACCGTATCCAGGACTGCTATACGGTCGCGATCATGCGATATCTACCGCCACGACGAGAAAGACAGTGACATAGTGCCTCTTGGAAGAAGGGCTTTGAGGGACAGGGAAACAAAACCGCACTATAATATGATGCATGCTGAAAAGATATACGTGAGATATTGCGCAATGAATCCGACTTCAGCCAATGAGCTTCAGGCACCAGTTTGAATTATCACCGAAACCATCACATTGTTACGCCATTGAAACAGATGTATGAAGGTTGTTTTTTAAATTGCATATTTTATTTCAACTGCATTTTTATTGTACCGTTTCTGAGTTGTG